CCCCCCCCCCGCCCCCAAACTATTTGCAAGTATTAGCCAGAACTGGTACTTCATTATTCTACATAACCATAATTTTATTATCACATTCAAGAAAACTAACATTGATACAGTAGTATTTAATATGTAATCCATATTCAAATTGTTCCTACTTCCCCAAATATTCTTTTTATTTTTTTTACTTTAAAAATTTTTTTTCAACATTTTATTTATTTTTGAGAGACGGAGACAGCAGGAGCAGGGGAGGGGCAGAGAGAGAGGGAGACACAGAATCCAGAGCAGGCTCCAGAGCTATCAGCGCAGAGCCTGATGTGGGGCTCGAACCCACGAGTAGTGAGATCATGACCTGAGCCGAAGTCAGATGCTTAACCGACTGAGCCACCCAGGCGCCCCTCCAAATATTCTTTATAGCTTATATTTTCAGTCCAGTATCCAGTCAAGAATCATGCATTTCAGTTGGTTGACATGTCTCTTTAATCTTTATTAATGTAGAACAGTTCCCTTGCCTTGTTTTGTCCTTTATGGCATTGATATTTTTGAGCAGTTCAGGTCATTTGTCTTGTGGAATTAAATACATTTTTGAAGGACTAATAAAAGTGTAGAAATCTTGGTTATTTCCAGAGCTTTTTGTTTGCACTGTCGGATCATGTCCACTGTTCCAGGTTGTGGTACAGAGCCACTCAGCAATGGAGGGTGGAAGTGATGGGATGTGTGGTATAGTAGTGATGGGTCTGGGTCTTGCCTGTAATAAGGGACAGGAAGGCACAACTTATTTAATTACGTTTCCCATTTTTTCTTTGGAAGATTTCTAGTGATACCTCTGAAATCCTGTGCCATTTACTTTGCCTAAGTTTTATGTGTCAAGAAAAAGCATGTGCAGAATGGCTTCTAGAGTTTCTGCCCTCTGCTTGGAAATATCTTCTAGTGGGGCCGTCAAGGTCAGAATTCTATCCATCCATGTGATTTTGCTACTTCGTGGAAAACAGGAATTTTTTTCAGTTCTGGATACATTTGTGTGGCTGTATCTATGATTACCAAAGGTTTACTGATAAGCTGGAGTCCTTTTGGGTATGCCACAGGGTTTCTTGTCTGATAAAAGTTAGTTTTGTGTCATGTGATGGTACATTTGACACTTTATATATAGATGTTTACATCAGTCCCCAGAGCTAGTCCTCAAGGATGGATGGGATAGATGAAATCTATCCAGGCTTTTAATTCTTTTTTTTTTTAATGCTCATTTATTTTT